TCACATAGACCATTAGCTTACAAAAATATATTACTTTTCTTGCTTTCACATGAAGAATAATTGTTATTTAGAAATCAATAATATTTGTTAAATTAAAAAAAAATTAAATAAAATATTCTAATTAAAAAACATGTAAAATGAAATGAGTGTCAATTTCTTAAATTTATTTTAAAATAGATATAATATTAATAACATATGCATTATATTTATCTTAAAATAAATTATTATTTTTTCAAATATTAAAATTTTATTAATTAAATAATCCAAAATAGCCTTGTCTTTTTTATTTTAACTAAATCTTGAATATTGTGATGATACTACCAATATGAAAATGTAATGATAGGATGCCCTAAAATTAGACTTAATTCAATAATCTTTTTTGATTTTATTAAATTTATATAACTAATCTAATATAGATTTTTTATTAAGGTTTCAGTTGGGACATTTTTTTACAATTTTTTAAAGCAGCTTTCTAATATAAAAAAATTATAATAAAATTGTTTGTGCTATAAAACTACTTCAGAAAACAACAACAAAACAATCCCAAACGAAGCCTAATTGATAAAAAAAATAAGAAGATCATAGTAACAAACAAAAGAATTATATTTTTTCGCCTGGCTTTGTAGATTGGGGTTGCAAATGAACCGAGCATTCGACGAGGTACTAGTAACTCGGCTCGGAAAAAGCTCGTTTATATATGTTCGTTTGATAAAATAAATGAATAAGCTAGAACACATTTGATAAATAATCGATAGTTAAATAAACAAGCTTGAACAACCAGACGTTCAGCTCATTTATGTTCACGAATAATATCGTTTAGAGCATGTAAACATGCTCGTTAAGAAGCTCGATTATATCTTATTTAATTAAAAATAAATATTATATCTTATTTGACTAATAAGATAATCATGTCTCACGTTATTTACTAATAAGGGGGGTTTGATCCCACACTGCATGGATAGGATGATTTTGCTCTTAAAAAAAAAGCATGTGATAGCCATTTACGAAACAACGGGTAGATGTCGGGTAGATGTCGGTTTCGATATGCTAGTCGGCCTTATTTATGATTTTACTTTGTCTGGACGAGCCAAACCACCTGCTTGTCTTTTTTTTTTTTTACGAGGAAGCAATGTTCATAGGCCAGTGAAAACCCCGGTCGATCTAGCATGCAACCCACACCAATTTACACGGGCCAACACTTAAGACTTTTATTGCTTGCCAAGGGATTTGAACTAGGGACCTAGGCTTTGCCCAGCCAGCTCTTCACCACCCGGACAAGCAGCGGTGGGTAAACCACCTGCTTGTCAATGAGCGGCTCAAAGAGGCTTGGACGAGCCGAACCATCAGCTTATCAACGACTTGCTCGATGAGGCTTGATAATGAGCGGCTTGATAAACCTAAATAATCAAGCTCTAAATTGAACACAAGCCGAGCTTGAGCAGGAGTTTTTAAACGGGTTTGAGCTTGAACAAAGGCCAAAAAAACTCAGATTCTTATCGAGCCGAGCTTGAACAAGATGCTGCGCTTGAACTTGAGCATGCACGAATGCGGATATTACTTGTTCAATTGCAACTGTGAAGGGCACCAAAACTGCTAATTCTCTTGACTCCAATTCTGCTATTTTTTTGCTAAATTACTTTGAAATATTATTTTTGACATGTATGTTTTGGCTTGCCCACTTTTGTTCTCCTTCTTGGTGTTGCTTCACCCTCTGTACTGCCATTTTTTTCATTGGTTCTACTGAGGAAAAATACATCGGTGTAGTCACCAATGGTTTTTGATTTTTTGTTGTTATAATTTCTATAAGTTCTACACTTATTACAAAAGAATTTATTTTAAACTAACTTATGACATTGATTATCAAGAAAACTTTGAACCATTTGGTAAGATTAGCTTTATGCAAATTATTCTCTCTACAATTCTAAATCTCGATTAGCCTTCTTACCAACTAAGCCTTCATTTGAGATGACTCTCTTACTGTTTCTTAAAGCAATTTTTTAGTAGAAAAAATAAAATTTTATCATAACGATCAATGATGAGATAGAAAATAAGAGATTGAAAGAGATCATAGAAAATGAATTTAAAATTAAAGAACAGAGAGCTCTAAATATTTCCTCTAAATAAGAATAATAAAATTTAATAAAAAATATGGCTTAAAAGAATATTGGAAGACCAAAATAACCAAATGAAAGAACCAATGGCTTGATATTTTGACAAACAAGTTACGATTAGCATTGCCAAATATCCAGTACATCATAATAAAAAGAGAAAATTGATCAAGGGATCATTCAAATAGAGTACACTACTATAAATCTTCAGACAACATACTTAATCAAAGCTCTTGATCAATCACAAATCAATAACCTAACGTCAAAGCTATGAATTATCAATCACAATTCCAACCACACTTTGGTGTGCAGAAGACATACAGGAGACTGACAATGCAGATGTATTGGAAGGGGATGCAGAAGGATGTAGAGAGATGGTGGTTAGATATGAGGTGTGCCAGCAGAACAAGTACATGGACATGTATCCTAGGGGTTTCTTCAACCCCTAGCTCTACCAGACACGAAGTGGGAGGAGGTCACCATGGACTTTATTGATGGACTATCTCAATCTGAAGGATTTACATTGATTTTGGTCGTAGTTGACACATTGAGCAAGTAAGCTCACTTCATCCCCCTATGACATCCTTACACGGTAGTGACAGTAGCGGCAGCATTCATCAAAGAGGTGATCATACTACATGTGATAACGAAATCTATAGTGACTGAAAGAGATAAGGTATTCCTCAGTTGTTTTTTTGGAGGAAGTTGTTCAGGCTACAAGGGACAGTGTTTAAGAGGAGCATCACTTACCACCCCAAGATAGACAAGCAGACAGAAGTGGTGAATAGAAGCTTGGAGACATGCTTGCAATATTTGTATCAAAAAACACCTAATGTATGGGCCAAGTGCCTAGCATGGGCAGAATATTGGTACAATACTTCGTACCACTCGGCTTCCCAGATGACTCCCTTCAAAGTATTGTACGGAAGAGATCCTCCACATATGGTACATTTTGGGCAAATCGAACACCAGTATCTTCAGTAGAGCAGTATATGAAGGAAAGGGATATTGTGTTGGAGGAGTTAAAAAGACATGCTGAGGGCTCAGCAAATTATGAAGAAGCGAGTGGATGGGCATAGGAAGGACATCTAGTTTGTCGTTGGGGATAGGGTATTCTTAAAGCTACGACCCTACAGACAAAGGACAGTAACCAACATAACGACGGAGAAGCTAGCCCCAATGTACTTTGGCCCTTATAAGCTGTTGGAGAAAATTGGATCAATAGCAGATCGCTTGAAGCTACTCCCGACTGCTTACATACACACAATATTCCACATATCACAGTTGAAGAGAGTTGTGGGCGACCATTCAACTAGTTCATAATTACTAGGGACACTGACAGATAATCTGAAAGTGGTTTTGGAACTATTGGAGCTTGATGGGGTCCGTCAAGGAGAGGGAAATCCTAAGTACGTGTTGATTAATTAAAAGAACATACCTGATTATGATACCACATGGGAGCCATTTGAGAGCTTCAATTTCCCTCCTTCCAGCTTGAGGACAAGGTGATTCTTTGAAAGGGGAGTATCGGCCTATGTGTATAGCTGGCAAAACAAGGAGTTCCGCTTAGCTATATTTCAGCCCCATGAAGTGGGGTCCAGAAATCCTCATTAAGGAGCAATTCAGGGAGATTTAGGAGGGAAAACTCAGAAGGAAAGGCATTGTATTGGGATTTACTCCATTATTGTATGCTTAAGTATGTTATTGGGCTAGGGTTAGATTTTCATCCTTGTTTTTGCTGTAGTTTGCTGATTCTTAGTTTATGTGTGAGCTCTAACAGCTTCTAGAAATTTGGGAGAGCCGGATCTTCCTCTCCAATTAAACATCCAACGGTATCTTATTATTTTCCTTCATATATATTGCAATCAAAAGAATTTTGGTTTGTTTTTCTCCCTAAATCTATCGTACCGTTCTCTGATTTTTGCTGAAATTGCATCCACTACCTAACAGTATCTAAGGTAAATGACAAAATTCTTTGAGAGAGTAGCTTTATCAAATGAGTGTCTTTGTGAGTCATCAAACAAAGTTAATAGCTCACAATACTAAGAGACTAATGAAATTGTTTCTCTAGCAATTTATCAAGATCTTGTTCTAAACCATTTGAAACTTTAAGCAAGTTAAATCATTAATACGAGTTATTCAAACATGTTCACAAGCACCTACTTACTCAACCTGATTCGGACTCACTTAAAGACTAGACTGACCTAAATCAAGCAAACATGAGTGTGCAATATCCTATCACACTTCTAAGTTCTCAATTAATGATAAGCCATCCCAAAACAAATGCCCATTGAATCACTATTTTCCTCTTATAAATAGACTAAACTTCTCACATAGAGTTGACCATATAAATTATTAATTCAATAAAACGTTTTTCAACTCTAATGCTAATGCATCAATACAGCCAATTAGTTCCTAAAGATCACACTTCACAATGTATAACACAGAAGAATTTATTTGCTTAGAACTTTTGGAAACAAAGAAGACACCAACATGACTAATGCTTTTTGTACCCACTGCTTCCTATATTTCCTGCAAATTATGATGAATTCATTCTCACATATAAGGTTTCGTTTGGGACGGCTTTCTTCCTGCTTCTTAAAGCGGCTTTCTAGTACAAAAATTAAAATCTATGTACTAGAAAGCCGCTTTAAGAAGCAAAAAAAAAAAGCTGTCCCAAACGAAGCCTAAATCAATGGTCAAATCCTAGTTGAAAGCTAAAAATAAACGAGAAATTATTACGTGGAAATCCAAACATAACTTTTCGTCTAGACTCCAATCACATAAAGACACTTATATTTTCTCTCTCTTACACACCCTGTGAACAAGAGAAAAAAATTAACATGTCTTCCCTTTTTTCACGTTCCAACGGCATCCGCACTCCGCACCTAATACTTTTCAAAATAAACAGCTAGATTGCATTTGAACTTTCTAAACATATAATTCATTTCTACAACTATATAAAAACTACAAAAATACCATTTTGCAATATGAGGTGAACGACAATAGATTAAAACTTACATCAAACCATATAGGTCATGCCGACACGAATAATATTCATATGAGGCACACTCATATTTGCAGGACCAGCTCTACAATTTCTTCTCAGGAATGAATAGAAGTAGTTGATCACAAGCTTCTTTGTGAACCAAGAATCCTTTCTTGCTCTCACATCAGCCTGAGCAAGCAGATATGTGAAACCTGATTCCATTGCTTCTCTTAGTTCTGAAAGCTCATATTCCAAATGTGGATCTTCAGTAGAGGGTAATGAACTAGATGGAAGCAACGAACAACCATCTTCTATCCTGGAAACCTTAGCTCCATCCACACTACTATGAGAAATTAATGGAATGTGGAGCTCAGAGACATAGCTTTGAATAGCTGAGTCCCCTGAAACAACAGACTCCCTATCAAAATCTGTTTCGTCTGAACTCATTTCAAGAGCAAGTTCTCGAGCTTCCCTTCTCAAAAACTTCTCAAGGCTTTCTATCAATAGCTGCTCGAAAATGTGGTGATCTTCCTTCCTTACATCTTTGTATCCGTACCGAGCAACACAGCGAAACATGTGAAAGTCTTTCCCGCAAACTCGCCGAAAAAGAAATCTTTCGCTTACAGGAACAACTGGAACAGGAACATACTTGATGCAGACAAACACGATTACAGAGTGAACGGCCGGGAGGGTGATGAGGAGTTGGCCAAACATAGAAGGGATGCCCTGTACCAGTTCATTATAAACAAGTCCAATTCCTGGAACTCTAGCAGTTCCTAGAGAAGAACCAAGTTCAGTGATGAAATCCATGGAGATTTTCTCCCTAACCTCGCTACAGTACTTCAGCACACTTCCATAGTTCCAGATGTACATAACCAGGAGGAAAAATGAGGCAAATGCAAGTGGAAGCCAGCCACCTTCCTGTACCTTCGTTAGAACTGCAGATAAGTAGATAAGCTCAATAGTTCCAAATATGGCAGGAAAGCTCAGGGCAAGAAATATGTTGGTTTTCCATATGAGTAGCATTACAAGTGTCACCAAGGCAGTACTCACCATCATTACCAGAACCTCGGCGATGCCTACAGAGTGATGCTAGATAGTCAGCCTTGATAAAACACAATGAATTTCCTCAAAGATTGAATATGGAAGTAAATTTCGATCAAACCAAATGAGCAGATTATCAAACCAAAAAATATGATCGATTTATAATTCCAATCAACTTTCAAGCCATGTCTGGACCCATATTGATAGTCCATCGCACATTGGATGGCCGGGGCAAGGCCATGAATTGGAAAACATAAATTTTGCTTGTTCATGAACTTTGCTTTAAGGATTAACCATTGGAGTGGTCAGTAATCCACGTTATCAATTAAGAAGCTTAAACTTGTTCACTTAATATGGTGGTTTGGAATTGTAGTACAACGACACTGTAATAAGGGTGCTTTGCTACAGAAAGTTCATGGTAAAAAAGCAAAGGAGTATTTGACCAGTTCTATGAATTTGTTAACGGACGAGAAAATCGAAATTATCCACATATTTAAGGCACTTTGGTTTGCAACTCATCTTGCTTAGGATCAGTTCCCATATCAACTAAGTTACCAACCCGAGCACTGTAGAGCTATTGCATACAGACTACTGGCCCAAAGCCTTCTCTAAGCCAATATCGCTCTTGAAATGTAAGGCAACTGCCTGTTCTTCAAAGTCACAAGAGCTTTCTCAACCATCTAATATGAAAGGGATCATATTTCAAAAAGTTTAAAGAGAAGTACTTAGTAATGGATATTAAGAGCCGTTAATTTTTTTATCAAGTTATATTAATGATATTATGTTCTTAAAACCATTCAAATTAGATTTGTCTTGTGTTGTTAAAAAGCATTTTCAAATAAGATTTCCATTTTCTAAGGTGTGCATGACTCAAAATCAGCAACAATGGAGCCACGATCCGATATTTTGAGCCAATACTAGACTGACTTTCCCACTATTCATATAGAAACATACTAATTAAGGACAAGCAAATATTGTGACAATTTAAAAAAAGAGCCATTGAGAAAGTAATGGAACACAAAACACCCTAAATCCTTAAGAAATAGTATCAAACAGGTTAAGCAGTTAAACCAGCTCAAATTCCAATACTGACAGCAAGAATCTAAAGGTACTTTACCATATGCGTTCGCAATGTCGGTCGTGCTTCTGAAAGTGGCAACAATGAGTATGCACATGATCATTAAGAACCAGTTGATATTGGGAATGTATATCTGACCCATAAATCTCTTAGAGGTGTGTATAATCTTCATCCGTGGGAAGCAACCAAGAGCCATAGACTGCTTAATACAGGAAAATGTAGCAGATATCATGGCTTGACTGGCAATCATGGAAACAAGAGTAGCTATGACAAAAATGGGCCAGAAAAGAGGCTGTGAGATCCCCAGCCTGCCTCCACTTCCCAAAATTCCCCCATTACCTAATACGGAGAAGATTGAAACCATACTCAGTGACGAGATCATTTCCACCAGGAACGGCGGTCGCCAAAGATACTTAGTGCGTTGGAGAGGAAAGTCGGAGACGGAGGACACGTGGCTGGATCGTGATGAGATACAGAGACTGGATCCCGACATTTTGGAGCTGTACGAGAGTTCTCAGGACCCTTACTCGATAGGGTCGAGCTTTCTCCCACCCAGGGAGAATGATGAGGGCATCAGATTTCGACATGTGTACCATCGCCGGAGGCGCCGATCGACGGCCCTGATTCAGAGTCTTTATTTTTTATGTCTTATTGTATTCATGTCATTTATATTTCTTGTCTTTTCCTTTTGTACCCCTATAAGGGAATTAGTGTTTGTTGTTGCCCAAGGGCATTGTAGTCTTTTATTTTCCGTATGTTGTTGAGCCTATATAAAGGCTAGGTCTTTGTATTTTGGAATTTTTATTGAATGAATGAAAATTTTCCTTTGCTCTATTCTCTTTGTGAGTGCATGAAGTTCTCTTGGTGAGTGCTTCCCCTTGAGATCTCTTAGTGAGTTCTCTAGTTATCTTTTCGTTTATTATTTACTTTGCTTTGCCCAATCTTCTTCCCCCTAGAGAGCTCATCCAATTTCCCCTTGGCCTTGCTCTTGCCGCCGGCCCCTAGGGCTTTCCCCAGCCGCCGGCCACCCTCTCCAGCCCACCCGACCACCTCACGCCGCCCCTCCTCTCTCGGCCAACTCCCCTCCATCATCCCATGTGAATTTGAAATTCAGAATTCAAATTTTGAATTCTTTCCAAATTTGAAATTCCAAATTAGGAAAGTTTGCTTGATTGAATCAATTTCAATTTATTTTAATTTTGGAGTTTTCAAATACTTATCCACGTCATCATCCTAAGTTTAGAAACCCTTCCCCTCTCTCCCCAACTCCCTCTTCCTCACACATGCCGCCGGCCTCAACCCCCCAATCAAGCCCCAATTGATTTTTGCATTTACTCCCCTTTTGTGATTTGAAATCACAACTTAAATGCAAATAATCCTCTCCTATTTTCACCAAAACTGAAAATAATTTCAGTTTTCAACTTTCTCCCTCCTCTCCTTGCCGCCGGCTCACCTATGGGCTTAATTGCAATTGATTTCCAATTAATGCATTAATTGCATTCATTAGGAGATTCAAATTTGAATGTTATTTCCCTCTTAAATTTCTAAAAGCTGAAATTAAGTTCAGTTTTTTTTTTTACAAAACCTCTCTCCTCCCCTCATCCTAATCCCACCGCCGGCCTCCCCCTTGCTTCCAACCCGCCGGCCCCTTGCTTCCCCTTGGAGATTCCGTGGTAGCGCCGCTCAATCCCACGTCAATGTTGCATGGAGGAACCCGAATGGAATTACGGGTTTGAATACGACAACCGTGGACAAGTGAATATCCTCCGATCTCCCTTTTTTGACGTTGGGTTTGACTTCGACGACACGGTCGAGGAGTACTTGGACCGGATCCTACCGGCCTTAGTGGAATCCATAGACGATCATTGCTCCGTCTACACTTGGATCATCGAAGGGCCTCGCTACACGCCACCTCCACGTCCGGCTCCATCCGCTTCTTCCCTACGGATCTACGGCATCGTCGCCCTCGGAGTGATTTTGTCACTAGCATGTTTCTTCTTCTCCCAACGAACCTAGAGGTAGTTGAATGAGTGTGGCCTCAAGGTGAGACAATCACTTTGTTAACCGCCGGATTCTTGTTGACCATTCATTTACATTACTTTATTGAAGTCGTTATTTTATTGAACTTGTAAACTTTGTTGAATTTTCTTGCCTAAACGTTGTTAACTTTTAATATTTCCATTGAATCGTCAATTTAGCAAAGCTAGAGGTTGTATTATCAATACTTTATAGAACTTCTATTAATTTCATAAGATTTGATTCCTGGATTCACATCATTTTGGTATCAGAGCATGGCTAGCATGCTTTGCTCATGTTAGAAGCATCCTAGGAAGTCCACGTTGGCTTGCCATTAAGAATTTACATGCACAACATTATTTAAAACATTTTATTCACCGCTTTTATTTGTTGTCCAGTAAATTCCAGCATCCTATTTTCATTGCTAACATGCATGCTTAAGTTACCCAAGTGTTAGTTTGGTCACTTACCACCCACCGAGTCACTTAACTCACTTGCTACACTTAAACTTCTTGCTTTTCTGAGTTATTCCTGCACTGTTTAGTGGCTGTTAGGTGCTCGAAACCCTTGTCTAGTGGCTGTCCACACACCACCATCCACCCTAATCACTTAAACCACTTTCCCCACTGTGTTAGGTTGCTGTCCCCGACATTCCAGCGGCTGTTTGAAGGCTGTAGGAGCTGTTTTCTGCAGCATTTAAGTGCTGTCCCCCATCCCCACCCTACCCCCTTTCCACCCTCAACCAATCCCATGGATCCGCAGCACCTCCAAGCTACCCTAGATCTCATCTTGGGCCAATTAGGGACCGTTACGCAGCAAATTCGTAATGCTCAGACGGACTTAGCGGATTTTAGAAGATTAACCAGTGATCGACTAGATAACATAGAACGTATTGGGAACCCCGCAATCTACACCCCTTCGCGACCTCACTCACCTTACGACGAGGAAAACCGAGCCGATCATGGCCACCCTAGAGACCCGTACCGCCATAACCCGAGACCCCATCAAGATCCTGTAGGAGATGAGAACCCTTGGCGTGATAACGATGCCCAGTTGTTGAAAAACATTAGAATTGATGCGCCAACTTATGATGGGACCCTCGATCCCCAAGTCTTCATGGATTGGCTCAAATCCATGGATAGTTACTTCAAATGGTATAACATCTCGGAGGCTAGGAAGGTTAGATTTGCTGAAATGAAACTCACGGGCCGAGCCAACTTATATTGGACCAACTTAGAGAATATGCACGAGGCTCGAGGCGAACACCCTATCACGGATTGGAGGACGATGAAACAGGAACTTAAGAGAAAATATCTCCCTCCTTCGTAATACCCGAAGCTCCTTGATAAATGGAATAGATTGGCCCAGGGGAGCATTTTCTTCTTTTTTGTATATAACAATTTTCAAATTTGATCACATTGGTGCATATTCTTAGTTTTTGAGTGGGTTATATTGGATTGGTTAATATTTGTTTTGATTTGCTTTGTTTTTTTTTTTTTTAACTATGATGCATGGTCACATAAATTTTTTTTTTAACTATGATGAATGGTGACATAAATGATTTATTCCCCATGATAGCCACTCAGCAACCTGGCTTTCATGGACAGCATTTTTTGACAACTTGGGGTAGTCTTGCTACGATGGGGCCTTTAGTTTGATTACTTATGCACCTTTTGCATTTTGAGTCCAACATATTTTGTATTTAACTTATTCTAAGTTTCTAATTTTTTTATAATTCTCATATTTGTAATTTTAAAGTTTTATTTGTTTACTATCATTGTTTGATAGTACTATTTCAGTCTTGTTTATCTTAATATATTCGAACTATTAATTAATGAAATGGGCTATGCCCCTAATTTCCAAAAAAAAATGTTAATGTATTTAGTCATAATAACAGCTTATTGTCTTGCTAGTGAAAAAAACATATATCTTTCTGTCTTAAAACTCATCTCATATCCTTATTCTAAGGGTTGAAAAATGATGAGTGAGTCTTCTTATATTTTTAAAAATTGATAACTTTCAATATACATGCTGAGGGGGTGTTTGGTTTAGGATTGGATACAATTTTAGTAGGATTTACTAAATCCTGTAAATCCGGATTTAGTAAATCCTTGTCTCATAAATCCTGAATTGTGTTTGGTATGAAAATTTTTAAATCCTATTAAATCCAGAAAGATGTTTGGCAACAGATAATAGGATTTAAAGCGGTTGGAGATTTAAAATTGAAGGAGTAATATTAAGCCGCTTAATTCGCTTCTGCATCAAATTATAAATTTATTTGTTCTTTATCACATATTATATAATAATTATTTTAATTACTAATTATATTACTAACTATTTAATTACTACTTATATTACTAACTATTTAATTAAGTTAAATTAGATAATTAATTTATACACAAATAATACTATTAATTATTTAATTAATTTACTTAGTTATTAATATTTTAAATTCAGTTAACCAATAATGGTTGAGGCGTCTAGAGTTTGCTTTTAAACTTCTCTTTGTCCGTCCTTGCTGTTCGGCTTCGTTGCTTCAAAGGCGAGCGCCGCCGGGAAGAGAGGGTGGGTTTGGGGTCGCCGGGGTTTTCGTCGTCGGCAGCGAGGTGGTTGAAGGGGAACAGGAGTGTTCGCGTGGTGGGAGTGACGAAGAGGATGGTGAGGGCGCAAGGAAGAAGCTGCGGTTATCTAAGGAGCAGTCGGCCGTTTTGGAAGAGAGCTTCAAGGAGCATAACACGCTTAACCCTATAAACATTTCTTTCTCTCTCTGGTTTGCAGGATTCCTGTAGAGATTGCACGAGTTGCTTCTTTGGCTCCTTCGTTGCTATTCGACTTCGCTCCTTCGACGAAGTTCCCTTCCTGTCGGATCGGACGTTACAATCTAAAGCAACGACGGGAGCTCGCTCGCTCGCTTGCAGTGAAGGTAAGTTTCTCCCTTTCGCGCGCTTCTTCGGCCAAATCCCTTAAATCCGACTTCTAGCGGGATTAGGATTTATCGGGATTTACCAGATTTACGGCGTAAATCCGCAAATCCGGGATTTACGAAATTGCAGGATTTAAGGCGCTCAGATTTGCGTTTGGCTGGATTTACGGTAAATCCTACTTAAAATGGCGAATAAATCCGATACCAAACACCCCCTGAGAGTAATATTTCTTTGATTTGGGATCATCGAATAAAAGACAAATCTCTTTTTAAGATTTATAAGAGCTATTTTCCTGCTTTGAAATGTCACTAATATTCAAATTAAAGTTGTGGTTATTAAAGACAAATGTGT